ATACGTTTATCCAAGTCCTAATACTATTATTAAAGTAAAGAATCTTCTAGTACCATCTAGGAAGATAGAGAATTCATTTTAGTTTACACCCGTTGTTTTTTTTGTGTGCCTACCATTTTGAAAAATAAAGAAACACGAACTCACCGAAATATGAGTAATATTTAAAATAGTACTAAAAATCATTGAGAGCTCATAAAGTCGAGTACCGTATTTTTATAATAGGTACGATATGTCAAAGACTAATTATGTAATGATTTACGTACATTTTCTACGAGTAAATTAAAATAATGAAACACAACCAATATTTAATCTATATATTTTGTTAACAATCCACGACAACGAACTCAAACGAAAGGCAAAGGAAGGAAGGAAAGAAATTTCTAAAGGCGTCACTGTGCGTCGTTAGCAAAAATACGCCGTTCTTTTTTTGAAACTCATTACAGGTCTGTGTACAGATCTAAAATGAAAATTTTCATCACACTTGCTCGTAAACAATGTCATAACATGCAAGCAAAGTCGACCGTAATGTGCTAAATGATACACACGGGCGTTTTCATTACATTATCGCCCTATGGATTTTTACGTCAAGATTAAGCAAAAGTTTTTATACCCGAAAAATCTGAACGTATATTTCGCATAAACTTTTATTATAAAAAAACTAAACATTTACAATTTAACTATATTTTACTAAATTTATTTTCTGAATTCAAATTCTGCAGTATTTCTATATACTTAGAAATAAATTATACTTAATAATTAAAATTATGTAGTACGAGTGGTAAAAATTACAAACGTCCAGTCAATAGCGCCTTTGCCTTCGCCTTCGGCCTTCTAACAAACTCTCGTTAGTAATTTCTTATTTACCGCCCCTAATAGACAATGTAATAATTAATATATGTAATAATAATTAGAATAATTCAATTCAGTAGCGAGTACCATGAACAATGTTGACCAAGTATAAAATAGGTTCACAACTAAAAAGAGCGCCTTTGTGATATGGTTTCTTCCATCCTATAAGGATATGGTCTAAGAAATTTTATAATTGACAGATTAATGTGCAGAGTACAAAAAAAAACTATCGTCACATTTTTTGCCTGGCACAGGTACTTGGTATATTTTTAAACACAAGGTCTACTAATTTACAATAACATGTAAATTGACGTACTCATTATTTGACTTAATTGTAGATTAATCGCATTTGGAACATAAGTACGAGATGGTTATTTAATAATAAGTGTTATAGTTAAACCAATATATATTGTTTTGTCGCTGATAGCTCATGTACATATGTATAATAATATGTTTACGTAATTATCGTAAGTACGTATGGTATTCTTACAAAAGTGTATAAATTGAAATATAAGAAGGGAAAAATTTAGTCGCTACAAAACAACATTCGTTTCCAACTTAAAAATGGCGTGCGAATAATTAAAAAGTTTTAATGACAGTCATTTGTAATAAATTACGCACATGAATTAGGACGTAGGTTTTTATGTGACGTCTTTGAACTGAATATATCAAAATTTATGGATGTAGGTACGTATATGCGTCTCAGAATTATATATTAACTTAATACGTAATTATCGAGTTCTTAGGTTTTCGCGATTGTTACACATAGGAAATTGACTGTCAACCGTGACCATGGGACCTGTAAAGGGCCCGAAACGTCGGTTTGTTTGAAAAAACAAATATACGCGATTTAAATCCGGAAAAATAGTTTCATTTCCTATTAATACGTATTTGGCAGGAATTCATAGTAAATACTTTTATGCAATTAATTACGATTATCTATTATTTGACTAAAGTCATATCTATCTAAAATAAAATAATCTCTGGAAAAGGGATATTAGTATCTCCAAGTTACGCAGTAGCTACGCAATCGCTAATCCGCCTGATATATGTAGCAACTTAGAATAATAACGCATAGAAACCTAGCCCGCACACGCTAAGTGAGGCAAATTGAAGCGCTCCCAAAGGGCCTACACGAGCGGGCGGGCCTTCAGTGCTCAAGGTCAACTTGCACCGCGAACAGCTCCAGAATTTTAGTTAAAAATGACGAAATGTGCTGTAAATGAGTGTAAAAATACGTCAGACAAACATAAAATAGATACTAACATTACATTCCACAAGGAAGTAACGCGTTTCAACTTGTATTTTTATATAAATATTCACTAAAACCGAAAATTAACCTACTACTAAAACTAGCCTACATGAATTTGATTTTTGCCTCACTTGTGACAGTTCATTTGATATGAAACTATCATTCTATGCGTTATTATCATTGACTTACTATTATATGGACGTCGGGTCCGCGCTAAAAAGTGTCCGCACTTGTAAGGCGCTAAAATCGTATACAGAGCGCGACACTCCGCTTTAGTCTTCATTTGTTCTACGGACAGCGCGATACTGCGATGACATTACAATTTAAATTTCGAATAGGTTGACTTGGGACATTTTTTTCGTGGTTTTTGTATTAGACCCGTCGTCCATTTATTTGTAAGTCAATGGTTATTATTCTAAGTGTAGCAATTTGCATGTACTTTGTGGCCTTTTGTTCAATAGCTTGTTTATTTTTTATTTATGGTATTATATTGTTGTTTTATAGACAGGTACATAGAAGACGTTCATTTTATTTTAATTTATGTTATGAAAAATTATCACCGAACAGAACCTATGTATAATCTAAATGTAGACGACTTTATGTAAAATACCTTTTACACACGAACATTACACAGCGTTTACGGGCCGTCAAAAAACCAAATTACTTTTCTCAAATTAAAACTGAAAGGTTTTTACACCATCTCGAATTGCTCGAGAGAAACTTTAAACAATTTGGCTGACTATTGAAGCCAATAAAAATAGACTTTGGTGAATAAAACGTTTTACACCTTCGTGAGTTTCATTTTGAAAACGTTGAAATCGATGAGTGCATTTGCATGGGAAAAGCACCTTAACTTTTAATATAGTCGTGTAGGGACCGGGCGAACCGCGAGTCCGATAGATCTTTTGCATATTTTTTATTGAGTGTCCAAGCTTTTGATGCATGCGTTCCGCGTTTGTTACTTACGTAGATACGTACAAATATGTTGATATGCAAAGGTGTGATTAAACAATCGACTAAAAGCAAAAAATGGTCCAATGTTGTAATCTATGTAAAAATTGCCTTTATTATAAATTAGAAAAGCAATAATAAACGACGATGAAAAAGTATGGCACCAGACTTATGAGAGTACATTATTTATTTATTTAAACAATATTTTTTGTACCTCGCCTCGAGCCTCCGACCGAGTGGTCACGACTCTTCACACAATTACATTTATGTACATTTCATATGTTATCCAATTTGTATAAAAGTATTAGAATTTAAGTTTATTTTATTGATATACTGTTATTTGCTTAGGTTATTTACATATCATAAGTATTTCTCATGTGTATGTAGTTGTATGTACACTACCTATTATGTTGATTTTCTTATCAGTTTATTTATTTATTGTTGAGTTCTGTATTGTTGTCCGAGCCTCACTCGCCCCGGGCTTGCTAAAAATCAGCGCCACGAAACGGTTTAAAAAAGCCGTTTGTGGCTTAAGTACTGCATTATTAATTGTTTTAATTGAGTAATCAGTATCAATTGTTTTATTTCTTTTAATGTTATTATTTTATGATTATATATTGAGATTCTCGCCTCTCCGAGGGCCTAATATACTACTGGTTACATTGGCTACTAATAATATATACATAATTTTTAATTGTTATTATTATTATTATTCTCTGTTGTTTTGTCTTTAAGCGTGTCTGTGCTTGTGTAATAAACAGTTTTCTTTCTTTCTTCTTTCTTTCTATACACAGTGATTTAGAACGAATAAAATAAAACTACTAAATAAATATCTGCTTTGTAAAACAACAATGAAAAACAAAAAAGTAGTAAATTTTGAATTTCCCTCGTTAACTGTTTTATCGACAATATTCTGTAAAGAATTGTCAAAATCTTCAGGTATTAGTCGCTAGATGCCGCTCATATGTGTGGCCATTGTTCCAATCTCTATCTAGCTAAGCCGTTCCACAAATAAGCCCGTCAGGTTTTCGTTGTACATTTTCCTTTTTACGGTTGGTTACAGAATATTTATATATAGCGTGCAATACTTATTTACTAAACCGTTTTAATAGCATATTTTCATATGAACCGAAGGAGCACAACAGCGCTGAATATAGCAATTCTCGCGAGCGCCAACTGCATAGTTTGAGATAGTAAAATAGCAACTCTAATCATTTGTCAGAAATAGCAAGCGACGGACCGACGCGTCACCGTCGGATTTTATTTATTTTTTAATTTTGTGACAAAGAAAATTGTGATAGTGTGATTTTTATACACGTCTTGGTGATAAATAATAGTTATAAGATTTGTTATGTTATTGTTGCACGGTGAAAAACTAAACGAGGTAAGGGGGTGGTGAAATCGACTTCAGTGTGCAGACTTTGTTTGGGCTGTGGGATCGATAACCCGGTCGGCTAGCCATGAGGCGCGACGCTGAGGTTATGTCGGCTGCGACAGGCATCAGAGTTCAAGTAACGGTCCGGGCCGGAGCGGGCTGCCTCGCGTTACAACCGCAGAATCCGGTCGGGCCTGGGACTGGGACCAGTTAGTTTATAATAGCGTCTAGATACTCATACGCCGCCCTCATTCCGTTACGCTTGCCGCCGACTGTCATTGTAAATAAATACTCGGTAATCAGCTTCGCTTCTAATCAACAAGGAGTGCCCATGCCCCAGACCCTTAGTTCGCTCGTCACCTACGGAGATTCCTTTTGAGACGTGCGCCTGTTTTCCAGCTTACCCTGCCTGCAGTGCGTGCCAAGAGCCCCAGAGTCCCAGCCATTAGATTGAGTGGAGTGTCCCCTGTGCCCGCCCACACGTAGCCCCGTACGCCGCCAAAATTCCGCGAGACACGTCGGACTCATCCTCCAGCATGGAACTGGAGAAAGCCCCCACTCTCCATGAGGAGGACTCCAAAGTCACCCTCACTATCAGACTGATTATGCAGGGGAAGGTAAGAGATAATGCACTTATTACTTTTTGATAAATCACTGAATAGGCGCTGTTCCCTTCAAATTTATTGGTGGTTAAACTGTGCAAGTGTGTATTTTACCTTCTTCTAAATTATTGATTTAAGTATTTAGTACACTTTTCCTTAGTTAGCTGTAGCTTAATCACAAAGGCAACATTTATTATTAGTTGTTGTCATGATTCACCAAAGTGAATTTTATCAAGCTTAAAAGCTTGATAAAATCTTAGATTCTATCTTAGAATTTATATGCTTATGTATGTAAAACACACTAATTGATTAAAGATCATGGCCCATAATCTGACCCAGTTAATAGATACATACAAAAGCCATTATGCAGTTGTAAACCACTTTTTATTTTATGTAAAAATATATTAAAATCTACAAGGTCAACATTAAAAAGGAAATAAAGATTTGATATTTAACATGTTTAATGGAGTGAAAATCCGAATTACCTTATTAACATACTTTCTGTCAAAATAAATTTCATCATACTCCTGCACAATCACTGAGCGGTCAGTTGTAGTAAGATCAAATTCATTCTCTGCATGATCCACCATAAATACAAAATACAAAAATATTTTGCACTAACATACATATAAAAATACATTGTTTTTACTCCATAATTGACCATACTCACAATGAAGTGACACATACCATTGTAAAGTACACATATTTTTCTATAAATCTAGCCATATGTAATTTCGGTATGCAATAGGTATCATTTTTATACTTTTGCGGCCATGGTCTTTTATAAACATTGTAAAATTTTGTTATTATTCAATCAAAGTAGCCTAATTTTAAAAAGAAAAAGTTAGCATAAGTTAATGCAAATATACCTCACTAGAGCACTAGAATTAAAAACGAACTGAAAAAATTTACATAGTTAAAAGAGTTGTGTTTTGAATGAAGTAATCTAATATGACTTTGGTATGCCTATCTTGTTAGGGGAATAGCACTTGTAGGGGTGCTTAAACCAGATCCTGTTTACATGTAGGCTCACCTAGTGACTACGCTTCACAATTGACACCACAGTAATTGTACAACTGCTTTATGTATGTACAGTATTTTACACAATAGCTTAAAACCTTGAGTTACATACATGGTATAGGCAACAATGTTATAAACATATTGGTTACAATTCGAAAAAGGCTATTATGGTGTTAAATGAAAGAATTTATATTATGTTGGCTTATACAATCTGTCAATATCAATAGAAGCCAATTTAGTGCTCACAAAAAAATACTTTTCTGCTTGCATGCTTCATTAATCTCCTAACAATACAGTTAGCATTGTATCTAAAGTACATGTAAGTGTACCTGATTTTCCTACATTCCATTGAGGCTAAGTGTAGCTTATGTACATACTTCTAGGAAAATATGTTGTGAATAATGCCTGAAGTATGATAGACGACATTATTGTTTTGTTCATAGCAGTGTTATTTGTGTTACATTGCTCAACCTGTAGTTCAAATTTAGCGCACCTAGATGCGCCGAGATTGCACGTCCTCATGAGATGTATTGGTGTTAACATGTACCTATAAGTATAGTTTTATCTAGGGCCTTTTAATTGGCTGTAATCCAATACAAAATATATTTGGCATCCAGCCAGCTATTGGCAGTCGCCCTGTTCATCAAACTTGTCGATTTGTATCTTTTTCAAATTAAAATATTGTCTCGTGACCTTTCAGGCCTATATATTTTATATTAAATATACCTTGAAGTACATTTGAAGTGGAATAAAAGTCTTAGATATTTCCTTTAGAAGACATAATAGATCAAAAAGTACTTGTTGCTCCACTACAAAATAGACTTGCTTTGCACTTTAACATCAATGAAACTATTAATTGCTTATAAATTAACACTGAATACTAAAATTTCGCAATAGTGATTCAATAAATGACAAGTTTACTTTGCTGGTACCCAGTTACCTAATTGTTTTGTAATTTATTTTCCATTTCACACCTTTGTTATGGTCCAATGAAAAATGTGAAAGTGAAGTTAATTAATTCTGACTCTAGAATTATTCATTGCACTTCTAAAACAACAAAACAACTAAGTTTTTGCAATACATCATTTAGCCTAGAGTTTATTGAACTCGAGTTAGCAATCCATCACCTATTTGTGGCCGTGGTGCGACGTCGGGCGTAGACGGACGAGCATTGTTCACATAGTGCAGGAGTCAGGCCGCCGGTGCCAGAAGCTGGTTGCAACTACCGCGCTGGCTTGATGCTCCGCTGACGCGACTATAATTGCAGCAAAGAATCGCTCGATGCAGTGACTATTATTGGCGGCCAGACAGGAAATCTTTTGTACTATAAATCTAAGCGCGACTGATTTAATTGCGCGTGTTGCACAATATCGGCGACCTAATCTCGCATTTATTACGCTAGCGTTTACTAACAGTAATACTTTTTTGTTTACAGGAAGTTGGCAGTATTATTGGGAAAAAGGGAGAGATTGTTAAGAGATTTAGAGAAGAGGTTTGTTGAAAAAATATCTGTAAATAAGTAAAAATACATTGTTGCACAATTTAAAATAAATTAATGAGTACTGTTAAATTTCCAGTCAGGAGCCAAAATCAACATATCTGATGGATCGTGCCCAGAACGCATTGTCACCGTCACTGGCAATACAAGTGCTATATTCAAGGCTTTCACACTCATATGCAAGAAATTTGAGGAGGTTTGTATTTACACTAATTCTCCTAATCTCTGTATATACATATGTGATGTGTCATATCTCTCGCCTATAAATAATTATTTATTATAAATCAACGATCGTCGGCTACTTGTGCTCACTGAACATCTAAAAAATGTATTGTAAAGGGACTACCCACTTGATGGACATCATTTTAAATAATAACCATTTACAGGAGTAATATTAGACTGCATTAAATAACACTAAACAAAACGTCAGTAATCGAATATTTCATGAATGAGTCTATATATTTATTATACATACATTATTTATAAAATTTATATTTATATTTAAGATAAATAAATGGTGAAATTACAGGCACATGGGATTTGTCAACTTATGTCTCAGGGTGACGGGCGCAGTGGTAGTGCCCCTCAGAACTTTGCAATTTAAAGCTCTGAGTGGCACTGTAACTGTTATGTACAGGCGTTTTGCTTACCATGAGGCGCACGACTTGTTCGTCCCGTCCCTTGTCCCGTCCCAATGTTATAAAAAAAAATTATAAAAAGAATAATGCAGAGCAATATAATAGTGTTTCACAGTTTATGCTTCATATAATTTATTGTCGTGTAAGCTTGGCAAAATTTTTTAACCGATTTGTTATATGTTATAGTGTAGTCAAGAACCTACTTGGTTGTTATTCAATGGTGATGGTGTAATCGAGAAATAGTCAATATCGAGTTCTTAGGTTTCCACGATTGTTACACATTGGGAATGAAACTATTTCTTCTGTTCTAAATCGAGTAGTAGAGAGCTATCTAAAGCGCGGGATCTCTATGCTGGAATAGCAGTATTACTGGTCACATAGATTTTTAACTTTGCCAGTTAGAGTATATTAATGTAAACACATATTCTAAACAATACTACAAATTCAGTTTAATTAGCTTATTGAAACTTATACAGAAGAAATTAATGATTAAAATTATAAGCTGAATATGCCACAGCTCAACTGATGTAATGCTGGATTTCAGTTCGAGACGCTTTTATAGGATAAGATGGCACGAAAGTACTGATGTGGGTTAACGCTAAAATTATAACATAGCTTAAAATTTAACTAAAAATTTGTAGGAAAATTAATGAATTGAATGTATGACATACTGCATTTGTTAGGCATTTATATAGAAGAAACTTACTCAATGACGACCGAATAGCAGAACCTAAATAAGTTTATTTTTTTATAATTTTTAGTTTTTAATGTTTAAATAAACATTTTGATAAATAATGTTGGTTCTACATTACTACATGCGAGACTTCGTGCAATAAGTAATATAAGCTGCTAGTAAAAGATCCCTTATAAGTTTGGCATTTAGTAATCATATCGTACCCTTGATCATACGTCCAAATTACTACAAGAAAAAAAATTATGTATGTGAAATTTCATAACTGTCCTATTAAAAATAATCGAGTAATTATGTTCGTAGAACCTTTCAACCTCTTTCCTGAAAAGTTGTCATTTTGCACATGTGGCCTTACGTGGGTGCGATATGTAAATGGATTTTTTTATGCCAATCTCCATTGACTTACAAATAAATGGACGACGGGTCTAATACAAAAACCACGAAAAAAATGTCCCAAGTCAACCTATTTAAACGTAGTGACATGTGAAGGAATATGAAAAAGCTAAAACGTTGAATTTAAATTGTAATGTCATCGCATTACTGTCTAATTTTGCTTGCTTCGCTGTCAGTCGAACTGTTTTAACTGCCTCCGTGGCCGAACGGTTACCATGCCGGACTGCCACGCAGAGGTCCCAGGTTCGATTCCCGGGCCGGGAGAAATGTTTGTATGGCTTACATTTATTTCTCTCGTGAGTTTGGGTGTAATTTGTGGTTGTCTATGTGTGTGTCCATTGCACCCGCGACATAGGGTTTCCCTAGTGCGGGGCTATGTTGAGTGTGTGCGTTATTTATTTATTATTATTATTTAAACGAAGACTAAAGCGTGAATGACGCTCTGTATACGATTTTAACGCCCTATAAGTTCGGACACTTTTTAGCGCGGACCCGACGTCCATATAATTGTAAGTCAATGCCAATCTCTTAAAATGTGTCGTAGTAACACGATGTTGTAATACGTATTTCAGTGGTGCTCGCAGTTCAATGAAGGCGGTGGCGGTGGGTCGCGTGCACCCATCACCCTGCGCCTTATCGTGCCCGCCTCTCAGTGCGGCTCGCTTATCGGGAAGGGTGGCTCCAAAATCAAGGAGATTCGGGACGTCACTGGAGCCAACATTCAGGTACGAGGTCTCTTTCTTACTTTATCGCCCTTCTTGGTTTCACGCTTTGTTTCACCAAGTATTCACTGATGAATTCAGTCCCGTAGTTTGTAATAAATATCAATTCTTTACTACTGCCTAAATAGCAAATTACAAAACAAAGCCAATCAACGTGTAATGATATAATAGCGTCGTTTAGAGACCGGAATTAACGTAATCAAATTGGGTATTGTTACTACCATATATTTACGTATATATCTTCTACCAACTATCTTATCTACCAACACTACGGTAATATTTCATCGCAATACCAGTAACCTGTTAGCCAAGGATCACTTAAAATTTATTACTGGATGACAAACCAAGAGATGAGTGCGGTAGTCACGTCATATAATGCAGTGACATATTTTGTGACACAAACTAATAACGGCAGGTGTCTAAGTGACACAATGACATACAAGCTTTTGTCCCATTAGATTGTTACGTATCTGACCTAAATGAGCTTTTGATCTTCATCCGATAATTCTTTGTCATGTCTGAATGCATTACAGTTCTTGGATGTGACAGTTTTGTTCATGGTTTATGTCTAGTCATGGTATGCTTTGCCATTCAAATAAAACAATCTCACTTTCTTTTGTTTGGCTACATATGTCAACATATGTTGAGTAATCGCGTTAATTTAATAAACAATAATAAACTTGCTAGTAACTATGCGGTTGGACATACGCCACCTCAAAGGACTGCAAACTGCGTACGTTATGCTCATTAATTGCAATTGAGGGTTAACATTTTTTTGTTTTGCAGACGCATTGTACAAATGAAATAATTGAAGTCGCTTTCGCAATTTTTTTTAAAGAAAATATGCATGATTGTAAGTTGCAATAAGTCACAAAAAACTTCCCTGTTACCCTACAATGAAACTACTATTATCATCGAATCCTTTACCCCCCGTTCACCCGGCATTGTACTGCACGTTTCTTTGCAGTATAAATCTTACCGAATAAACAGTGGCGCTTACATAGATATGGAACCGTTCACACGGTGTTTTTTCCTACAAAAAACACACAGCTCTATACGTTTATCGAATACGCAACGGACTTGTCAAGCAAATCGAATGAACTTTAACTTATTCGGTGTGCAGTGACGCATAGTATTAATGTTTCTCTTTCACCCGGCGCGAAGTCATACATTTTTAATCGAATTATCACCGAACAAGCGGCGTCTATTGAAGTATCTTCTGAAAGGAGGGCACGCATAATTTTATTAATACAAAATGACCGGAGCATCTTCTGTGGACAACTATTTATTTATTGATATCTTTAGTGGAACAAAAGCACATTTTGTGGGACGAAACTATGGAATTGTATAAACCTAATATCTTCTGTTCTTCCGGCGGCAAAGCCGTTGGCGTTTTCTATGCTAATGTGAAAGTGCAATAAAGCGTGGACCCATCACAGACGTGTTCTCAAGGCGATTGCTTTGTGAGTACTGCAGTTATCCGTCTTTTAAACGCATGAAAGTATATCGTGCGAACACCCCACTGTCTGTCCGTTTATAATCGAATACGTAACGTGCAGGACAATGCCGTGTGAACCAAGACTTAGTCGTACAATAATGTTATTGAAACGATTAATCATTTTATTAAATTGTTTAAAAATTTCATTAGCATTTAAAAAAAATCAATTTCCCACTTCAATTGTAAAGAGACAGTGAAAATTTGAAAATGGAACTCAAACGGCCCTATAATTGAAAACAAATCGGAAAAAAATCTTGAAGCCGCATGGCGCGTCGTCTAACATATCGCGTACATGCAGGTACATGAGAAGAAAATGCGTAACCAATTATTAATTAAGATCATTATGCGCAGTGAGCATAAATATTACTAGAGACGCAATGTCCTACAAACTGTTGTCTAAAATGTGAGACCACTTTGCAAATTTAAAGACTAGCTTTGAAACTGATTGAAATTTCAAAGAAAAATATATTTGTCTCGTTTTTTCTAATGTCAAAACAAAATAGTCATAATGCATTAAGGGATGCGACCAGTGTTACCGGTTTAGAAAAAGTTTTCCCTAATTTCTTGTAGCCTTACTGGTGGAAAGAGACAGTGGAGATAGATAGTAATCAGAAATGGAATGAACGAGTGAGTGAAATATACATGAAAATGTATGAACAGGGTCCACGCTTGGAATTCATACTTCTTTCAAATAAATTGTAAATATGAAAAGATGACTTTCTAATCTAAGGAATTCATTGCTTTTGTAGTATTTTTTATTTATTGGATAAAGATGATAAAAATACTGTCTTCCGACAAAGTTTCTGTTTTTATTTAACGAAACCAAATTTATAAAAGGGTGGGTATTACAAATTACTTGATACACAAACATTTAACTATAGTTTATTACAAATTATTAAACGCCACTATGCATCATTAGCTTATTGTACAATTGCCTTGTGTTTTGTTACTCAAAGTATCTTTTCGTAAAAGTCGTATAATTTTTATCCACTCCGCCCTGCGCGTTCGATCTTTAGGTACTCTGGGAAACAAACAAAATATAATTTTTAATAGTATTACGGTTACACTACGTTAAAACGTTACGTTGAATTTGCGAAGTCAAAAGTAACTTCAAAAGGGTTAACTCCCAATATTATGGACAAATGAAAATTGATTTACTGGCAACACTGATGTTTAAAATATTTTTTTTTTATTTTTATTAACGACAATCTAAACAAACAAAAGCAAACTTACCTGTGGAAAGTTACCTCAGTAGTTTTATGACCATTTTCGAACTGAGAATTTCAAATTTTAATTATATATTTCACCGTTTTTGATACTTTTTTGTTACGTCTCGGTGAAATTATACTCACTCGAATTCTAGATAGTGATTGATGTCACTGTTGCCTACAAGCAACAGTGCCGTGGATAACGTTTGGAGGCGCAGATTGCGCATCTATTGTTTACAAGTATAATATCATTGATTGTGCGTAACACATACAATAACAAGTCGAGTATGTATTTTTATTTTTCTAATCTGTAACGTAAATCGTCTTTTCGTGAAACATGAGTTCCATTATTTTATGTGTGGAATGCGTGTGCATTGGAATAATCGATTATGATTTCTTGAATGAAAAACTTTCAACTTGACAGAATATGTAGCACATAATAACAAGTCGAGTGTACTCCGCTTGTTCGGGCTCTTATTTTGATTCTTAACGCTGATCAATAGACGGTGCTAAGTAAACCCGCTAGGCAATTGTAATAATATTCGGAAACGCCAACAGATGGTAGCTATTACATTATTGTCAAGGTTATTGCTCTTGTTCAGGCGGTGATTATAATAATTAATATTATTTACAATAACATTGTATTAAATTGCAAAGAAACTGAGCCAGTTACTTTTAATATTTGAAATAAAAAGTCTAAGAGGTTACTTAGTTTCGAGAATAAATTCAAAGAAGTGCCGTCTATACCATTCTTTGTAAACTAACAAATCAGAAGAATACCATTGAGAAACCTTCTTTTTGTTATCTTTTCAACACAGTCAATTTTCACCAATTTTCATAATTGTAAATGAATTTTAATTACAACATTTCTAAAATGCTGTTTAAATGTTTAGTTTTGCCTTTGTAATAACAAATAAAATAAAATAATAAAAAATTATTTTACACTTCTTATTTTGTATGACACCTCAAATTTTCCAGATTTCATAAATCGTATTTTTTATTTTATCCAAGTGTCGCCATCTACAGTTTTAAATATATATTAAAGTTAATTTGTGTCAATATGATACCCCATGCCCGCACTCATGTCATGACCGATAGAGATAACATCAATACGTACATACATGTTCACAGTTATATTCCTTAGGCGTAGACAGGCTACCGATCGCCACGTTACCAGATCCCAAGAAACATTTTGCTTCACTTTCATACAAACCCTCTTATCTACTATGGACAGCAACAATGTTGTGAAATTTCATTTTAGTGCATTATTGGCAGTATGACAAAAACCTTTGTCGCTTATACCTTAATAGCAGTAGAGCTCCTTGTGAAAGAGTTCGTCCAGGGAAGTACTGCCACCTTACCTATTTCTGCCGCCTTGCAGTAATGTGGGCATTACTGCGTTCCTGTTTTGTTAGGTTAAGGGTGCCCGTGAAATTACAGGCACATGGGGCTTGTCAACTTGTGCCTCTGTCTCATCTTTGTGTTTTAAAGCTTTTGAGTGGCACTGCAACTGTTATGGATAGGCGTAGCACTTCCCATCATTGCACGACTTGTTCATCCCGTCACTTGGTATCATAAAAAGAAAACTGACTGATTCTCCTTCCTTTTTTGGAAATGGTTTAAAAACTATATTTATATGCACTTCCCTTTACAGGTGGCGAGCGAAATGCTGCCTAACTCGACAGAACGAGCGGTGACGATCAGTGGAACCTGCGACGCCATTACTCAATGTATTTATCACATTTGCTGTGTCATGCTAGAGGTAAGAAGAAAGTATCTTTAAATGTGTTTCATTTTTATTTAATATAAAAATATTTAAACACAACCTGCCTATCATAGTAATAGTGCTGTAATAAAAATTGTAATAGGTTTTCGCGATTGTTACACATAGGAAATAAAACAGTTTTTTCGGATCAAAATCGCGCATATTTCCTTCCTATATGACGTTTTAAAATTTCATTAAATATTAACAAAATGTTTGGCTTTGTTGCAGAGCCCTCCCAAAGGTGCGACAATCCCGTACAGGCCAAAGCCGAATGTAGCTGGACCTGTCATTCTTGCTGGAGGACAAGCATACACCATTCAAGGAAATTACGCAGTACCTGCACAGGATGTAAGTATTCATAAACGTTATTTCATCAAACGCAAAAAATTACCAAGAATTTTTAAACTCAGTTATGAATAAATGGGATTTGCATAGAACGCATTCAACATTAACATAAGACACTAGCAATGCAACAAATGTTGTAATTCCAGTGGAATGAACGTGACTCAATAAGAAAATAATTTCCTGCAGAAATAATCGTCCAATTATACCCATTAAAAACTACATCTTATTCTACATTCATAAAGTACATAGTATAGTTATGTCATGTCATAGTATAGTATATACATTCTATGTTATCAAATATATTAACTTATAATATGGGGTAACGAACTTTTTGCACTTGTCACACAAACTTAAGACTCCGTATTAAGGTGAAAAAGATAGATTTTTTTTTTAAATGTTACTTTTTCAAGTGCTTTGAGTTTCTCAATCGCCCTTAAGATAATTGCTAAACACGGATAGGAGTCACATCGACGTTGTTTAGAATCGACAGTAGAGATGAAACGGATTTCCGATAACTATCCAGTATCTGGCCTAATTTTCTACCGAAAAGTATAACATTATCCGACCGGATACCAGATGTTTAAAACTGAGAGAAATTCACAATCAGTACGCCAAACAAATGTATTTATTGATTAAGGAGCATAGTAATAGGATAAATAGCCACTACACGATCGTAGACAATGTATTTATTACTTGTAACTGTAAAGTACTATAAAATTAGATAACGTAATCTCGATACCTTCAATGAACACTAAGCCAACTTAATTTTTGGACCTGCTCTGTTTTTATTTTGTTTTTTGTTTCTTTTTTTTACAAAATTAGTTTTTTTTTTGTTCTTGTGTCTTTTTTTCACAAAATTCGGGGAGCACAATTAAGATTATATTAAGCAGCCATACTTGCTAAGACAAATAAATATGGCTGTTTACAAAAATAACAGAAGATGACCAAAAAATAAAGATGGCGTAGTGTTCATTGGAGGTATCGATCTGTAAATTTAGTCCTCAAATTTCAATAAATGCAAACGATGGATAAAGACTGATTTTTCTGCATTAAGTAGGAAAAGTCGGTTCCATTTATTTTTATAAACGAGACCAGCTTTAGAATTGCATTTCGCTATAAACTCTTGCAAAAAAATTTAGATACTGCTTGCTCTTGATCAGACCTCCCAATGAAAGGATCGCGATCACGATGGATTCTAACTGACGTTTTCGTATAAACCAAATGTACCTAAATGACCCACAATAATGAAATGTGTATATGTGTAGATTCAGACATATTTTTTTCTGCAAAAACTAGTATCGAAGTTTTAGATTAGTTAGATCACAAACAACAAATTAAGTAACAAAAAAATAACGGGCGTATCAGAGCTAGGCTTATACTTATAAAATAACAACTAGAAATTTTAATATACATAGGCAAGCAAAGCAAAATATTTTTTATTTTTATTTTTATGTTTGTATTATCGAATAAATTTATCGTTTTAACAAAAACCAAGTGACTACAATAAATCAAATCGTCAATGTGAAAGTGCAATCATTAATCGATCAATCACGTTGCGTCGATGTGCGCTGTAAACTGGTCGCAACGTGTTTGCGACAGTGGGCCAATTTTCCGCCTACAGGATGTCCGACTATCGTATAGGCATAGGTGCTCACCGAATATCCGGTATCCAGCCAAATCACTATCCGTTTCAACTCTATAGAATTAAGTGCAGTAACAATAAAATATTCAAAATACTTATCCGACTTAAGATTGTCGCTTGTATGCAGAGACTAGATTGATTATTTTGAAAACTGGGGTGATAAAAATGTCCCAAAATGGACCACGGGTCCCCGCAATATGTCGTGTGAATGGCCGGTACGCGATTGTGCGAGTAGTGGCTAAGATGCGGCCATTGGCAGGCGGTGTGCACGCCAGTGTTCCCCCTGCTGGACGTGAAGCCTCCGCTGGTGGGCGCGCTGCCGCCGCATCACCTGTTGCCGCCGCCGCTCCACGAACACCACCTTGTGAGTCGGCCACCGCTAAAGCCTGTCACTCTACCCGCCGACCTCATAGACCCTCTGGCACTCTTCTCGATACGTCCCTGTAGATTCCGAATATTCTGGACCTCTTCTTCTAATACCTGGATATAAATAAATGCTTCGGCAAATTGGCTGATGTCTTGATTGGCGACGAGTTTAATATATTGTCAGATTTGTTTTCCTTGAGGCGCAATGGGAACAAGCATCAGGTATGTCGGATACGTCATCCTGCCGGTTGCTCGTTGAAGTGATAATTATCATTAATAACTATGACGAAGATTATCTTAATAAATGTACCTTGTTATTTATAAAATTTATAAGAGCAACAAAATGCTACCGCTAACAATATCGTGTCATGTGTGTGTGTGTATCAGAGACGTATCCAAACGTGTCGATCTCAAAAAAGTCACAAACCAAATCGTTTTCCCCTAGATTTTTCTTCGTGTTTATTTTGTTTTCTCATTGTTTGTCATTTTTAGAAAATAAAGAGACAGAACTATGAAGCTGCATGGGTAATTAATTATCATGACAACTAACAAAGAAAACAAATATCTTGATAATTTCGAAGTCTGCTCCGAATCTGGAGAGCATTGAATCAGGTCCGCAAATATTGATCATTTGGTCGGTTGCGCCTATGCTACCATATGCTACCGATGTTGTGGTTGATGAATTGTACCTTGTATTTTAGATTACTCGTCTTCGCATTTTAGTTGTTGTCGTCTACATTTCTGAAACGTCGCCTTAGCATTGGTGTACAAAGTAAACGTTCGTCTTGGAGTGCGGATCTCAAGTAATATCTATGAGGTCGCGTGGAATAAGAGTGACATTATGTGATTGGTGCTGCCCCAGAATTCCTAGAACGTGGTTTGGATGTATGGTGTCGATCCCCCTTAGCGGTTATGAATTAACATTGTACGAATATCTACGTAGACATAGATACCCCGGTGTTGTATAAATACGAATTAATTTGCATTTATTTCGCTATATCTTTTACTCCCTGGCTTGAAACTTTTGAATATATTTTCCTATGCACGTGAACCCCAAAACATAGCTACTTTTTATGCAACCTTAGTATGAAATCATGGTTGGCGTAACATTAGACCTTCGATTAATGTAGTAATTTTTATTGTAAAAAAATCTCCAATTTTTGGAGATACACGTAGAGACATAGACACACTTTTGCATACAAAGCTTTATCTGTTTGTTTTCTGGAATTGCCAAGATAGAATTGTTTTCTTATTGCGGCAGTTGCGCACGCACAGTGTTGCAATAAATGATTTTGACAATCCCCTTATTGCACCTCTCCTTATTTTGCCTTTACCTCGCCTCTCCAACAATTTTATTTGTGTTCTGCGCGATTAATGTCGAGATTAACCACGGAAGAGCATGGCTTAACATGATAAGAGTACTTTTGCTACAGAGTCAAAATTTTTTCTCTATTACTGAAAATTCGAAAGTGCGTTTTTGTACTTGGGCAGCACCACTCGGGAACTCACAAAGTGGTTTGTTCTGTTACGAATTCGGGCTGAGAAAATTTTCAAACTCCATGTCCAGACGCCTACTTTTCCCAGTAGGCCCTTCCCTTGCATGTTAGATTCAGATACAAAAATCAAATACTTCATATCGCCTCAACATTATTTAATTCACAATTGAACACTATTTAGTATCTGAATTAAACACGCTATACAATGAATTGCAAATTTTCTCAGAATTATTAATAAAAATATTTCTAAATCTAATTTCTACCCAGGTAACCCTATCCAGCGATCCCATCCCGGCTATGTCAGTGAAGATGAAAACAAGCAGCTGGAGCTAAAAATGTTTTAAATTGTGTTGTTACTGTATTTACATATAAATTCTTATTTTATGTGCTTCCAAATATTAGATCTATTATTGGTGCCGATTCCGCAACGCCTTTTACTAAACCCGAGAGATCTCAAAGTAACCTTACATTGATTTTACATTCTTGTGCACAAAAAAAAAACAAATGCGGCTCTAACGATTACATAAAGTGATCAAAGCTTCAAGAAACTAATCAGTATTTAATTGTTTAGATGGGAGGACTTGCAAAATCGCCACTCGCTGGCTTGGCAGCTTTGGGCCTAGGTGGACTCGCACCAACGAACACCGGAGGACTTAACCCAGCAGGTATCGTTACATTGACATATACGTCTCGCAAGTAAATTGAAGACCCTATGACTTATTGTTAGCTCCCTTTTCCGAAATTGAAAATAGATTAACATGGATAATATTAGGCTATCATACTTAAAGTTTCATTGCCAAAGTTATTTATAGAGCTCATCCTTCTTACGGTATCCTTTCTTATCCTATACTCTATAATGCGGCATGCATTATAGAGTATAGTATCGTGGTGAAAGGATTTGCCAATGGGCGTAAGGTATTCGTCGATTGTTGCCCAAGGTGCTCCAGATGTACAGGAAAGGAATGGTATCTCGTGCGGGGTGGCTTCTGTCTTGCACACCCATATAGAAATCCATTTTTTAAATAGAAAACGACTGTCAGACACTGATATTAAGTAACCTAACGGATAAGTCATATATTTAAATCGAATTTTTGTCCAACACACTACGGAAACTCGCAGTTTCCATCGAGTCACCGCCGCGAAATCTCATGATTAGCGACCACAGATTGGTTCGAAACAAGTCGAGTAAAAATTCGACATAAATACGTGAATTATCCGATAGTTTACTTAATATAAGCTCATTTTGCGTGCTGAAATATTATTATTTATTAATTGTCTCTATTCTGTCGTCTCGTATCTGTAATTACACCAAATATATAAAATTAAGTTTTTTAATACTCCATAAACATATAGGTATTAGTGCTGTCTTAATTGATAATAAAAACTAATTTTTAACTTATGATACCAGTGAATGTTATTTTGATTTGTTTTTTTTTTGTTTCCTTTTTATCTGACCGTGTGCCCATTAACGGTACAAGTCGCTCTCCCAGCCCTGGCAGCGCTGGCTGGCTCCCAACTGCGCACCTCCAACCAATCGCGTAACCAACCCGCCACCAACCAGCAGTCGCACGAAATGACCGTGCCCAATGAGCTTATTGGATGCATCATTGGCAAGGTTTGTGTTTTATTTCTTATCAAAATCTTGCGTGCCATTTCAAAATCACTATTACAGCAAGGTAAGTGAAAACGTAATAAATCGGTTAAAACTTTGAGCTGCGCACATGGCCGTTTTCATTAGCGCGGTATTTCAGCTTCTTCAATTTGAAACGTAACCAAATCGTCGCCGAGACACCTCATTGCCTCCTACGGGCTGAAACATTACCCGAATTGCACACATCACATTTCTTAAAATTAATCACGCATTTAACTGTAGGGTGGCACCAAGATCGCTGAAATCCGCCAGATCTCTGGCGCAATGATCCGGATATCGAATTGTGAGGAGCGCGAAGGCGGCAGCACCGACCGAACCATCACCATATCCGGCAACCCGGACTCTGTCGCGCTTGCGCAGTACCTCATCAACATGAGGTAAGTCATTATATATTTAAGGGATCTCATACCTCTCCCCGAAATCTTCCATCCGAAGTCCGTATGACATATGTTGCCCGTTCACGATCTCGCCCACTCCGTTTAATAATCAGTTAATTGAACATCCCGTGATCTTCCTCTGATTTGTCTTACCTTTATTGGGCTCCCTCGACGTCGTTTAGATCTTGCTCGTTGATAAGATGATGATGATTGACCTGAGAATGACACCTTACCATCATACATTAAATGTCCTTTTTTCCTTTAAGACAATATCCGAAAAAATTTCCTTTCCTTTTAAGCCACCACCTTGGCACTTGCGTCATAATCATATCCATGTGCACGAGAAATTCTTAGGTCAACGTCAGACAAAAATTAGAAATGCGTCGAAACCGCGTCAGTCGCGTCGAGTCGGTCCAAGCTGTCGCCTGACCCTTTACAACATTCCTGTCCCGCTCCCGCAGTGTGGAGCTACAGAAGGCGAACCTGGAGGGTAGCTCCTCCGGGGGCTCGTCCGGAGGAGGGTCGTCCACGAGTCCCCTGGCCTCCGCCATCCCCCTCGCGCAACTCCTGACCAAGTCCGGCGCCCTCGGGGCCCTCAGCTCGCTGTCGGCCCTGGGCGGCCTCACCGACCTGCTGAGTGGCAGCGCGCCGTCGCCGCCCGTGCAGACCACGGGCGTGCACCGCAGCCACAAGGCCTTCGCGCAGCGCCGCCAAGACGACGACGCGCCCGCCAAGACCTCCAAGGAGCGGAACAAATACAACCCCTACTAGACTGGCTCGCCTCCGCCGGCGATCCGGACCCGTTTGCGACTGAAATTATCCAAAGAATCGATCGACCGCTCACCGACTCGGTCGGTCTCGTTAGGGTTGACACGACGTTTTTTTGGATGTTTAAAAGTCGAAAATATCCAAAATGTAGCTTTTAAGACTAACTTTCGGATAAGCAGAAATCATCTTTTACTTGTGACTATCTTAAAAATAAATCACTGTTTTGCACATTAGTTTTGTTACTACTACAATCATGTAAGGGATATGGACATCATCATTTTATGAAGGACAAACAAATTTCAACCCTGCAGGCCTAGGATTACGTTTTAAATGTTACGAAAGTAACTATTTTTAATATTTTTAGTTTACTATTTTAATGTATTCGAAATAATTTATGAATGGATTTGTGGTGTATCCTCTCTTAATTTATTCACTTGTTGAAAACTTAAGATTTTTTTTTTACTTTTTTTGTCATTGTTTCTGTTTGTATCTATATCAAAATTTAATAATTTTCTTGAACAATATCAATTTGAAATTTTAATGAAAATCAGAAGTGAAGAACCGTTACTGACTAAAGTGCAGTTGTAACAGTCACTGTCAACACGAGGCCATTGAGTTATCTATTCACATTTTTTTACAGAACAAGATTTCAATTTAATACGATTAATATCTAGGGATTGTGACAATAGTAGAGATTACGTAGAAGCTTAAATGCTGTAGAATATACAGAGTGCTTCGCGTTTGAATATGAATAAAGTCTATTGAGAATAAATACAGGGAGTCTATAAAACATCAAGCTGTACTTCAAGACTTGAATACATATATGAAATAGAAAATAGGTGCAGTAGTTTCGAATAGATCACAAATTTTAAGGAGAATGAAGTATAAAATAGCAATAATAGAATTTTACGAAGTATTGTTTGATGATGACTCTGTAAATAAATTTTATATGCGAAAAATTACGTCATTCGGTTTATTATAAAGGGTATTGATTTGAGCATTTGTTTTTTAGAAAAAATACATGTTTGTATGTAGTAGAACGCTTTCTATGCCTTTATCTTAGTAATGGGGAAGACTACATTCTGTTTCTCCAGATAGATGTTGTCATGTTCTTTTTAATATCATCGAATTCTACCCTAAAAGCTTTTTATCGTGGTAATTTGACTTCAAATGTGAATATAATGCTTACGCTTATAACATAAGGCCCAAACTCGCACATCTCGGTATTTGGCGTATGAATTTATACGAAAACTTTTCTAAAAGAATTAATACACTAATATGGTGTTTTTATTGATACAAAGGTCTAACAAACACAAAGAAATATTCCTTCGATCCGATTGGATTTGAACCAGCGGCTGTTTGCCACACCAGGGCTATACTACTGGCGTACTTTCTGGTTCAATTCTAGACGGATCGAAGGATTTTTCTTTTATTTGTTCGATATTTGTATCATTAAAAGCACTAAACTATTGGAGTACTTGCACAAAAAATATAATGAAAATCATCATGATGTTCAATAAAAGAAATATAGCATAAATACTCATGAGAAGCCAATCGTGCATGAACGGAGCAGGGCTGATATCATGACTCTGCTCTCTCGTTGACCTTGCTGTAAAAGTATACAGCTCTGCTTTTGCCTCCTCATCGACAACGTTTTCTCTAAACGATCTGTTCAAATCAAAACCACACTATCACTTGCGGAATTTTCACCGTAGATCCTCTAGACCATCGTGTGTCACCATTTTGATAATTGATTCCTTGACTTTATTAATTTAAGGTAAACAAGATCTTGTGATTTCTATGAGCTGGAAAATAGCGTAGCTCTCGAGTACTATATTTATAATTATTATTATTACTTCGGTAGTAATTTTAGTAGTATACTAAACTAATGCGGTAGGGTCGAAAGCCATCGAGTGCGGTCGGCATTATGCGTATGCAAAGCACGAGTTTTATGTATAATTACAGCTCCACTTACTTCAAGATATTCTTGTTCGATGATTGCAGTTGTGAAAATTTTTCAAATAGAACTTTTAAAACTGCGGTGACCACCTATAAAGAAAAAAATTAAAATATTAAAACATTCATACTTCTACCTATACATTATCTCCACCTTAATCGGTGCTAATTTACAAAGCAATTCAAAATTTTGTCTAACAATATTTTCGACGGTACTTAAATGTCACAAAAATAATGCGAATCATTTATTATTTACGCCATACGAGGCTAAAACCATGTAAATAGCTAATTTCTCCATTTTACGTATCATATTCTGATAAAGCCTACATCGATCGGTTTGGTACCCTGTACTAAAATTACTCCCGTGAATTTTATCTATTTGCAATTTCAATGTAGAAGTATGTATATTTGTATATCAAATGACGATGTAAAGGCAAAATTTTTGTTGTTACATAGAAGTAGCAAGGGATAGACAGCGCGTAGTGTCCACTGAATTTTGCCTTTACACTGTCTACACACTTAGTGCGAAAATAAATGATCGAGGTCCAATTCGAGTTTTCTAGATTTACGCATAGTCCCACAGGGAACGCAAATATTTCGCTGCCAATATAGATTTATTTGTAATGAAAATCATGTTAATTTTAAGGTAACAGACATTTTCGTATCGTTTCAGGAATTATATTACTCGCTAGAATCGTTAAGTAAAAGTGTATTGTTTTAAGTACATACTTAATAAAAATGTAAAACTATTACTTCGTTTTTCATTAATACTGTTTGCTGATTTTTTAAATTGTAATTGAAACCGTAGCACAGGTAATGTGTAATGTACATATATGTGTCCGAAAAGTTCCTCAAGAACCCGCCATATCCTGCCTACCCAGGCACTAAAACATTCCCGTGATATCCGACACGCTGACCTCGGCTACCGAGTACCTTCATCCCACAGCTCACTGGATCATCCAATTCCCGGTAAGAAGCTTCCTTTACGTTTTAATTTACATCCCTCTTCGTCTCTGGGAGTATTTACTCGCTAACTATTTGAGCTTGCTGACCTTGTTAAATCCTGTGAACGCTCCAATTCCACATTCCAACAATATATGTATAACGATCATTTATTATATACCATATTTTAGATATTTGAGATTTTATATTGTTTCCCCTTAAATTGTCGAGTTGTCTTTGAAACATAACTAGAATGTAATAGTTTATTCAGTGTTAGAGTGTAAAACACTTGTCACTTTTGCAGGATCACAATGGAGACCGCAGGGCTGCCACTGCCAGGGTACCACTACATCGCGCCAAACCACATTGTGAAGGCGCCGATCCATTGAATGGGGCTCTGCGGCCAGACCTCTCGCGTTGCGTACACGTCCAACACCGACTGCACCTACTTCGTGTACCCGCAATACAGGGCTCTGGCTCCGATCTACTTCTACAAAGGAATGACGAGACCAAACAATCTCTAAACGGGAAAAGGGGAAGCAATTGGCAAATTCTCTAGATTTAGTGAACGTATGTTTACATTTGTTACGAGTTTATAAGTATTTTAGATATTCTTATATTTATTCTCCACTATATTTAATTAATCGGGGCGGGATTTTCGGTCGAAATCTGGTGAAATCGGATGAAAGTTGAAAAGTCGTAATAGTAAAACTTAAAATGACTGACATTTAAAAATTTTTGATAGATCCGTGAGCAGTGATTGCCGCAGAAGGCGGAACGGTTTCTGTCTTGTGAATTCGTGACAGTTCACCGCTCCCGGATTGCAAACTATAACAACAGGAGTTAGCTAAGCTGATCGAATTTACTATGGATTTAAGCGGTCGAGTATTTCAATTATCTATTGGATTTGTTTTCATTATCAACATTACTGACCACAAGAAAATGTTCAAAATAAAGTAAATCGAGTGTCGGCGTACAGTAGGTGTAGATGCGTTACTATCGACTTCGGACCCGCTGACGTAGCGTAGAATTTAGTCTAGCGAACAGAGTGAGAGGGTTAAAGACAATATTTGTATATAAAATAATCGTAATGACCTGGAAATAAGGTGTTACAGTAACAGTTGCGCTGCCCGGGTGCCCGGCCGGCCGGCCGCCGGGCGCGGCGCGATACGAAACCGATGGGATCAAATCCTTTAAGAAACTAACATTTAAACGGAGACGAAATGAACATTCACTATATGACGTACCATTTAAACGTATCGTCTATGATCACAAAAGACGTTAGAATATAAAATAGTGTTGCTATATGTGATAGTCTTCTAATTTATTTTACATTGAATATTAAGATCTCTATCATTATACACAATGTGTAACATCGGCTACTGAAAATTTAAGTCAAATAATATTGGTCTAGGGATCAAAGCCAAAGATTGTTAAAGCTTGTTTAACGTTAATGATGTTGTGGATTTATGCAAAATTATTTTGAGAGTAGTTAATGTTTAGTAATGTAATGTGAACAGTTTATTTGGATTACGTTATCGCCCTCTCCGGACTGCTCATTGTATTTAGTCTTAGATTGAAAATATAATTAGCTCTGTGGTATTCTACATATTTCCAAAAAATATAAAAAAAATTTAGATATAATGTAGATTAAGATAAGTTAGGACCAGTGTACTAAATGCTTTCCCGAAAGTACTTGCTTAGAAACAACTAGTGCCACAAAAGACAAAATTGTGCCAAAATGAGTCTTCGTAGAGATATACACACTTACGATGGTATTATGCAGTATATTTTGAAAAACGGTAACGTAAAGTGTTATAACTCGGATATGTCTGGGTGAGCACATGAGCGCGACTGCGCCCGAATCGTTCCAGCTCACGACACACTCTCGACAACGTGTCAACAAATGTAATTTAAATTTAATCCACTATTTATTAATTTTGCACCCTAGATAATAAGATATGCAATTAAATTTACAGATAGTCTCAAAACATATCCCCAAACATAATCTCCCTTCTATGTCTTCCCCTTCGTATCTCAGTAATAGAGTAATTAATAATTGTGCCAAAGTTGTGTCTAAAATTAATATTTAAAAGGTTTGAATGCCGACGCATTCCAAGCCTATTATCGGCGAAATTATTGTTTCGATTACGTTGATATTATTCGTTAGTGCTAGTCAACTTGTTTTTGTTTTCGAGATATGTATGTACGTAATTAAATTTTAAAATGTGCTAGTCAAAATTTTCTCAATCGGTATGTTTACGGAAAATAACAAAGATAATTTATTTTCGTTTGTTAGCATACTTTTATCAAAATTTTTAACTATTTTTGTGTGGTCTTGCTTGAAGGAAAGTTAGTAATAAATTTTGATAAAATCAATTATTTATAGTCTATGGATGGCAATTAAGACAATGTATAGAGCTTTGTACATTATGTACCACACAGGTATACATAGTAATAATCTATAGATAGATTAACTATAGAAAGAGTAAGTAACTAAAGAGAAGAGATTTCTTAGCTGTGATTGACATATGGGGTGCACTTTTGTGCATTATGCTGCGACGGATTGCTAAGTAAATGTTTGTTGGAGAAGTGATGCAGGTACCTAGTAGGTATAGGGTACGCTTTTAGATCGAGGTACCTTGCTGAGGTAGACGACGTGACATCGTTCACAACTCGTGATCGAGATAACACGTATATATTTTATAAATAAATAAAACAGTGACATCAAAGATATTGTAATGCAAATACTTTGTCGTGAAGAATTAGTTTCTTGGTGTTGTCAGTGCATATTAATTACTACAATGCAATTTTAAATATTACGTATAAATTATATTAAAGATCATTTACATTGTACGCGTATTTAGTTAATAATAACAGGAAATTGTAATCTCGGAAATACTCGTTTGAATGTAGTTATTACAGGTCACTATTGTTACTGTTATTTTGATTTGCTCAATATTCTGAATATTTTAGGGTAAGCTTCTACACGTATTTTAGTTTGTTTTATAGCTTATAAGTTACATATCTTGTCACCGGCAAAAACATTTTCAACTTTGAAATATTTTTATATACCTATGTTGTTCATTCTTAAATAAATATTTTATTTTGTTTAGTGACTGTGCTCATAAATTCTGATTACGAGCAAATTTCGGCATTTCCAAATTGATTTTATATAAAGTGTTGTGTATTTTTGTTTAACAGTTTTGGTGCCTGTTCAAAATGAATATGCTTAATTTAATATTGGAGTTATTTTGAGCGCGTTATTAATTATATTAGCCTTTATTGACAGGGTCTGAAAGCGCTGTATAATAGTGTAATTAAATTCAATTTTAGCGAATGTGTATTGAATAACTAAATGTAATAGTAAATTTTTTTTAGAATTTTCATGTTAGCACCTGAATTTAAAATTCTTATTGCACCATTTAAAAAACCCTCTACATTAATGGATTTTATTGGCTATAGGATAATTTAACGCCTAAGATACACAAACAATTTGAACGGATATTTAAAATTATACTTTTTGAATATGGAATATGTATATATATACTAAATATGCAACTGCTTTAATAAAATTGATATTTTGCTACGTTCATTATGAACCTGAACCCACATACAGGTTTGAGACGATTGGGTAATAAAGGGTTGTGTAATTTGTTAACCATATTATATACAATAATAATTATTATATGCTTCAATCCCCTCTTCATTAGGTACAATCACACGTATTTAAATATATTAAAGGTTCATTTTAACCTTAGCTATTAACCAGGGTAAATGTTATTCATTTTCACTAAATTATAACTTACACAATCTTAACAATATTATAGTTCAAATCGATGTATTGGAAATATACTACATGTGTATTTTAAACCATTTAGAAATCACAAGTTAAACCATTGAAATAAAGGTCATATTAAATAATATACAATACATCTAACACAATGTATACCTAATCATTTGTTGTATAAATCTCATTGTATGGTTCTCATGGTGCATATTACGAAAGCTCATTGAAATTCTTTCATATAGAGTGATGATATCTTTATTTGCCAAAAAGCTAAATTTGATTATTTATTTATTATAAATGTATAATACTGAGAAAATTATCCAACAATATCCGAAACACTCTTGACAAACTCTAGTCTTATCACATCTTTTCTCTATTCATAGCTATCCAAACTAATCATCCCGTTTGGACCAGACCTGTAATGAGGCCCCTTCACATAAAATGTGAGGTCGATTCGCATGTTTTTTATGTTACTTCTCTAATTTTAATCATTTGACATCATTTCTCATTAGAGTCAATTCATGCGAACACTAATTTTTTTTAATATTAAGAAATATGGAATATTTAGTTTTAGTTGACCTGGCAACTTCTATATTATTTCTTAATATAACGAAATGTGTGTGCAGGCAAACGGATAGATGCATGCCAAATTTGACCTTCACTTCGACTGAAACCGATACACTGAATAACTTTAATTAGCATTTGCGAGAATTGACACCATTGTCAGCCTAAAAGGTCAAATAATACACCATCATAAATTATTATCATTATAACTTAGAAAATTCTATTGTTAAATGGTACTTTTTCACTTTTCAATTAAACGTGAACATGTGCGCTAAAGAACTGTTTGGTGTCTGACAACTTTAAAGATGATGCATCGATTGTCTAGCTTGCACTGAAATACATTGCTAACTACCCGTGTAAACCGACCAAAACAATTTCATAAAAAGTAAGGTGGTTTAAAAAAAATAGCAAGAATATATTCAAACAAATATTTTTTCGATTTAAAGATTAATGTACTATGATCAATCTTAATGTGCGCAAATAAATATTGATATAATATAAAACATTTGAGCCCAATAAATCATTTTTGAGAAAACCCTTTTCACTTGAAATATTTAAAATGTACATGATGTTATGAGCTCAAACCTATTTTTTATATTACGCGCAAATGAACTAGGATTGATCATTTCACGCACGTTATTACTTGTAGTAGAAATGATAACGTTTGGATAAATTCGTGTAATATTTTTTTTTTTTGTATAAAAGACCATAAACTTACCACCCCAGAGAATGAGTGGTATTAACGTAGGTAATACCTGTCAAATTAATTAAGTTTTAGAGAAGCATCAAAATTACCAAAATCGACTTCGCAA